ATTATTTAATTTATTTTTAGCTGATCTCCCCTCTTTTCTTTCCCCTTGCAATCAGTCGGCTCTGGCCCTTAATGGTGTTCTCTTATCTTTATGCTGATGATACAGTACTGATGTCTCGTACTAAATCAGGACTTCGTCGCACTTTACTTAAATTTCAGGATTTCTGTGATCTTAATGATCTATCCATTAACCCCAATAAAACCCAAATTTTAGTCTTTCCCCGCTCCTGGTCCCCTACATCTCGGACAATAGGATCTTCTTCCTACCGTCAAGTTCACTCTTATAAGTATCTGGGTCTTCATATTCATCACAAACTCAGCTGGACATTTCATTAAAAAGCTGCCATTCCTTCAATTTCTCCCCAATTAAAAGCTATTTCTAAATTTCATTATTCTTCCGGAAACCAATATATCCCAGCAGCCATTTAGATTTTTCAGTCTAAGATTCTTTCTCATTTGCTGTACGGTGTGCCTATATGGATACACTCGGCTAATTTGGATATTGATCAAGTTGCAGCAACGTTTTTTCGCAGAATATTAGGAGTTCCTAACTTAATTCGGCTTTCCACTATTTCTTTAGAATTGGGCATCCACTACCTTCCACAACTGCGTGGTTACTTACATTTAAATTTTCGCTCTGTCTTTTTTTAAATTCACATTCTGGATCCCTGATATATGATTTATTGTGTGATTCTTACTCTTTTTCTTGGTTCCAGATTATTGAAAAGAAACTCTCTTCTCTTCACGTATCCCTGGAATCTTTGGTAGATATGAATCTCACCAGGGCTTATTCCATAATCAAGGACAAGCTCTGTTACGCCGAATTCAATCACCTATGCAATAACCTTAACCCTGATGTTTCCCTCTCTCTGTTGGATTTTTTTCCATCTCAGGATCACTCTCCCAAATATTTCCACTCCCTAGTAAATCCACATCTAAGAAGAGCTTTCATGTTAGCCCGTTTTAACATTTTTCCTTCGGCCACCCATGCCAGTCAATTTCTCAATATCCCTCGTGAAAAAAGACTGCGTTTTTTTTGTTTAGAGACGCCTGACACCCTGGTTCATATACTGTTTCAATGCCCTGCTCATTACCACCTCCAAATTTTTTTTCTTGAACCTTGGATTTCTTATTTTTCCAATTCTCCTGAGACAATTCTTTCTATTTTCATGAGCAATGAATGTAATGTCCTGACCGCTGCTGTTGCAGGTTTCTTATCTGCAATTTTGAAATTGTCCCATGCGTCTCGCTCCTGATTTGTGAAATATGTGTAATTTTACTTTTCCCATTTTGCTTGTGTTGTTGTTACTTGTAAATGCCATTAAAGGTTTCAGAACAGAAGTATGAAGTGTTTTTGCTTTTTCATAGATCAAGTTGGTTTTTTTCTTTTTGTATTATAATTCTCACTTGCACTTTAAATCACATTTCTTACCTTTACTATTATTAATTTATCATTACATACATAGCCTTCCTTTCTTGCATTTTATCTGTTTTGTTTCTTTACATTTCTCTCTTGCAAATTCTGTTTATTTTTTCCTAAACCCCATTTCCAAATATTCCCTCTCATAGTAACAACTCACACTTAGGACATTTACAGATGCAACTGTTATATAGAAAATTTTATATTTCGACTTCTGCATTCAGCATTTTATATCCAAAAGAGAATTACTATACAGAACAAAGAGCACTTGCTATGACCTATGACTGGGAGTTGCCAATATGGTGTAAATAGAAGTCCACATCACTACTTTGTAAATGTCCAAGACAGAAATATGACCCTGCAATGCTGTGGGTGCTATCATCCTCTCTGAGGCTCTTTTCCTAAGGCTAAATATATTGTTCAGTATAATCACAGGTTTACCACACTTTAGCTCCCCACCTTTGTATTAGCCATGAAGGCCAGGATAAAGAATTTGAGTATCTTGTTAAAAGAAAAGGCTCCCCATGGATTCTTGAAAGATCAAGTGTTCCATTTATAAGAGTTACATTAATGGTGCCTTGAACAGTCACAGCATCTCCCAGGAGTGGCTACTTGACAATGTAGTGGAGGCAGCACAAGAAGTTCTCTTGATTGCCAGCACTCCCATGCAACAGGTTGTTATACAGTCTAATTTGTGTCTAGTCATCTTTACTCTTAGTCTTTCACCATTGGTAATATAGCCTTTAGATAGCTTTTTTAATTATTCCAAGCTTCCATGTATACCAAGAAGTGGAGCAGAGTGTAATTAATAAAAATTACATGCTGCCAAGTTGATTATAACATATAGTCTCACTTTCTAAGATTTTGTAGGTATAAAAAAATCTTCCCATGCCCTTCTTCTGTGGTCATTCTGGGACTGTGCAGCTTACCAAGGGGTACACAGACTGCTTTTCTGCCAAGAGCCACAACAGGGAACTCAACTCCTGACCTCTGGCTCTGCAATCAGTTACCCAGTTCACCGAATTATTCAATCAGCCATGGAACAGACTCGACAATGTTGGAAAATACAGTCACATATAATGAAGTTGATTGCTCTGATGCCTGCATTCTGTGTGGTCCAATACTGTGGGGTCATGGAAGTCACGGAACAATGAAGTCCCAAGCTAGGAACCCAGAAGAGATCTAGGCGTGGACACTGAATTTAACCAGTCCAATCAGGGAAGCTGCTGGGCATCAGAGTGGATGGTACATCAGGAGCATAAAAAGTTAAAGGTTCCCCTTGACAATTGTCCAGTTGTGTCTGACTCTAGGGGGTGGTGCTCATCCCTGTCTCCAAGCCGTAGAGCCAGTGTTTGTAGACCGTTTCCGTGGTCACGTGACCAGCGTGGTGGTACCTATTTATCTACTCGCATTTAGATGTTTTCGAACTGCTAGGTTGGCAGGAGCTTACCTAAACTCTTTTTATGACTGAACACCTGATGCAATCTCTCAGAGTTTTCTGATGAGGCCTTCCTAGTGGTTCCACAAAGAGTTCCCCTGGCATAAGACTCCCATTTTGTGAGATGTCAATTGAGGTTGGGCATGCAACTATACTTCTTTGCTTTTGGTTTCAGAAGACCTGTCTCTTCAGACTAGCATTTCTTGATCAATAAATGGCACTCACTGCTTTATTATTTTTTATGTATTTCAAACTTTTGATGTGTACCATCGTGTACTACTCCAAAATCTGAGATATGGAAAGATTTACATATTCAATTAATCAGTAAATAAATTAAACTTTCTAGAAAATGGAAGGATGTCCAAGTAAGGGAAACAGAAGAACAGATACAGATACAGATAGGTTGTCACCTACTCCTCAGTACTACACTGGTGCTGTGCATTTGCATTCTATCCAAGAATTCAGATCCAGGCCTAGACTGCACCCAGCACATGCAATCATGTCTCAATACTGAACACCTGACTGGCTATGATTAAACAGATCCATTTTAGCAGGCTTAGAGAATCTATTCAAAAGGTCCACCCCAGAAAACTAATGGAATCTACTGTATTTCTAATGCCAATACAAACTGATATTTTTAGTTTACTATGCATTACTGAACACATTTGTAGACACATTTTCTAAAACTGTCCTGGTTTTGTTATTAGTCCCAAGATCAACTTGTAGTATATTGCTTTTCTATGATGACAAATCCACCATAAAAAAGAAACCCCAGTGAAATGGTAGGGGTAGCCACAGTTGTGGCTTCACCAGGATAGCAATACTGGTAAATAGGGACATATTTGGAGGTCTCCCACCCCCTTCAAATATTTTCCAAACATTGCAAAAATATGGGAAGTAGACATCCTTGTCTTTCAGTGCAGTGAGACTACTGCATATCGATTTCCTAGTAGAAGTGTAAGCTTTTATATAGCAGGTATCAACAAGTAGCCAATCTACCTAAAAGTATCATCAATCAATTCAACTTTATACCAGTTTCCAAAGAATGCATGGATTGCCTAATTGCCAACCATACTGCCATATATTAATCATATGATCAATACAGTATATTATTTAGATTTCAAACTTGTTAACAAATATTCAACAAATATTTAGGATTGTGCCTGACAATTGTTAGATGTTAGTTGCTACCGTGTTTCCCCCAAAAAAAGACAGGGTCTTATATTAATTTTTGCTCCAAAAATGCATTGGGGCTTATTTTCAGGAGATTTTTTTTTCCATGTACAACCATCTACATTTATTCAAATACCATCATGTCATCTTCTGGTTGCTACACAATGGTGGAGGGTGGGGCTTCACTTAACTGGGTCTTATTTTGGGGGTAGAGCTTATATTACGAGCATCCTGAAAGATCATACTAGGGCTAACTTTCAGATTAGGTCTTATTTTCAGGGAAACAGGGTACTTTGCAATTCTAGACAGAAACGCCTCACAAGAGTGTCACAGTGGTTTCATTATACTTCAAAGCAGTTTCCTTCATTTGGATATACCAGAAATATGCTTTTTGGGAGAGCTCAAGTGTGTGTTTTAAACAAAGGCTGTGGACATGCTCTTTGAGAACCTACACAGTACATAGGCAGCACAAAAGCATGCCTATTATTCTGCATGGAAAATGTATTCTCTCCTATATCTGTGTGTTTCATATCAGACTAATTATACTAGCAACTTGTTTTTATTCTCTCACAGTATCTTTCATTAAAAAGATTAAACGATAAAAGTAAAACTTCTCCCAAAGCCTTCTTAGCAAGTATGAATCCCACCTTCCTTAAAAATAAAACACATTAGCATACCTGTGTGCAATCCCCCCATACTTTCCTCCTTCAGTGAAAACACATCTCTGTTTTATTTATATTCCATGACTGTTACCATCGCCATTAAAAAAAAGATACTAATCCACTTTAAATACAAAATGTTGGTTCGTTTAATATATGTTCTTCTTCAGTCCTTGATTGTTTTAAAATACAGAGCCAACTAAAAAATTTAAGGAAAGCATAGGCAGAAATAATTATGCCTGTGAGCTGTCTAGAGTTTGGGATAGTGGTGTTTACCGATTTACTTTTTTAAAAAGTGAACATTCTCTTACCATTTGTCTGGTTTGTCCGTGGTTAGGCAGACCTAACAAACAGGAAAGAGAATAGACCTCGTAAGACACCATTGCTTTTCCAAGACAGAAAAGAAAATACAAGATCAAAACAACACGGCTATGTTTGCAATTGGCTCACTTTCCAAAACAGGAATCATTTTCACATTTGCTTTCTTCAGTGATCATCTGCCATTATCTGCTTTATGTAACCCCCAAGCCATGAGCAAAATATCAGATCATACTAGTCACTTCTGCTGAGTGGGAGTAAAAGCAGCAGGAAGAAAAGAGTATGTTGAAGCAACATGCTTTTTCACTTGCTTGCCCATCTGTATTAGCCTGACAAGTGGAGGCTCAGCGCAGTGAAAGTTTGGGAAGTTCCTACTTCAACATGGAATTCTGAAAGGTAGGCAGGCCTTGAGGTTTTGGTCTCAGTGCGCCGTTTGGTTTTTAAATCAGAAGACAGCACTGTGATCTGAGCGTTCTCAGAAAATGTATCTTGCCCCCAACAACACAGAGGGTATGTTTTGCTATTGCTCAACAAATGAAAGGGGAAAAAATATTACTAATTTTCTGCAACCCACCAAGTAAACCACTAGTAGATTCCAATCTATCTTCTGCATATCTCTGAAATAAATGAGATATCTGCTTAGTCCAGCACTCTATTTGTAACTAAAGCTAGGTAGATGCCTCTGTGAAGCTCACAGGCAGGACATAAAGCAGCAATTCCTCACAACCACAAATCGGCATCTGCTTCTCAGAGACAAAAGCCCTTTGGCTTTTAGGCACAGTAAATAAAATGCAGCTTGCTATCATTACAGAGATGGATGAGCAGAACTCTTTCTCCATGAACATAGCTACACTGCTATTTGCACCTTAAAATAATTAAATGCCATAAAAGTGAGAAAGAGACTTGTGAAGAAACTATATAGGAGTACAACCAAAGTATGTTCCCCTTAAGATGGCCCACTGTTGCCACGGAACAAGGTTCTCTTCATTCAAATGATATTGAGACAGCATTCAGTTTCTAAAGTACCAATAGCAGCACAGCTTAGAAAAGAAAGGTGTGGTGTCTACTGCTACTAATGTCACAGGCACCTACCCATAGATGTGTAATGGCCATACAACAGTGAACTACACAAAGAGCTCCGGCCGCCAAGTAGTGCAGAAATGCAGTAAAGAAGTAAAATTTGCACAATGAAAAATTACATACCATAGAAATAATAATAATAAATGTTTATTACAGTCATTGACCAGCAAAAGTAAGATACATTATTTAAATTAGGAGACATAAAAACAATCTAAAAACATTAAAAACACTAAAAACACCAAAGCACTAAAAACATCTATATACATATATACATCTTACTAAATATCTCCTACCTCCCTATCATAGGCCTTATCTATGGGCTATTCCAGCTTACATAAATGCCAGAATTGTTACTTTGAAGCTCACAGAGCCCATGTGATCATTATATCAAATTGGTATACACCAATTTACAGATTCTATAGCTGCGCTTTAGGTGGAACCTTTCCTTCACAGATTTTAATTGCAGCAGCACAGAATTTAGCTACTTTTGTCAGCATATCTGAATTTGGCCCAGTAGATCTGCCAGGGCATTGCCATGTCAGCAAAAGCAGTGTGTAGTGTGCCTCTGATCGTCCAGGAAATGCCCTTATGTAAGGGTCAACGTGGACTTCTCAAATGTCAGAATAACAAGCACAATGAAGTAACACATGGGAGATAGATTCGATCTCACCAGAGTTACAGGGGCATAAACGCTGAGTGTAAGGGGTGTTGTTATACTTCCCTTCCTGGACTGCTGATGGAAGTGCATTGAAGCGGGCCAGAGTAAGAGCTTTGCGTTGTTTAGGTGTTAAGGGTAAGTAGAGATATTTTGCC